GGGCAGTTCCTCCTGCTTGCTCCCACAGTGACCAGACCACACCACCTCGCCAAGGTGTGTGGTCTGGAGCTGGGAAGGATCGGGTTGCCCTTGTTTCATTTACTGTAAGAGAGGTTTAATTGCTCCCAACGATTGCAGCAGTATGGGAGAGATGAAATAGCTTGCTGGGGAATATTTTAACAGTTAAAATAGCATATTTTTTTCAGCAAGTTGCAGATGCTGTTTGGGAAGAGAATAAATATTGAGGTTTTAATGCACTTCAGCTCTTTTGGAATACAGGATGCTTGGGCCTCTTTTACTTGCAGTCACTTTTTTTTTTACGTTTTTAGTTGCTTTTTATTTTATTATATTCCACCTGCAGTTGGCCTCATTTAACCATCATGGTTTAGGTGGCTATTAAGAATTTTAAAAGAATACCCAAATGCTGTAGCAGTGAGCTCAAGTCCTTTGGAATGCCATACCAAAAAATCCCCCAAGCCTGGGCCTGTCTCTTCTGTAATGTAACATTAATTAATTCCCACGTTCTGTCTGCTGCTCAGTCCCTCCAGATGTGCTACTAGGAATAGACTGGCTCCCTGGTTACAAGCCATCTGGGCTCTGTAAACTGATTTGCACTTATATTAAACAATAAGTGAACAGAATGCGGAAGAGTTATTAAAGCAAATGTACATTGCTTATAAATCTCAAAGTAAAATATTAAAATGTAGTAAATGGGAATGGAATGTGCAAATGAAGACCTGCTTGTTTTTAATGAGTTTAGCTGTGACCTTCTCGATTTCAACCAAAAGAAAAGATTTTATTTTTCTCTTTAAAAATTAAAAAAAAAATAAAAAGAAACTATAAAACTGCTTACAGAAGTATCTGAGACAAAAACAAGGAAATATAATGTTCTAAACTTGACTGGTCCAAACCACTCAAGCTGCTGTGACAGCTCATAAAACTCAGAGTAGTTTTTAACTGGACTCTGTTTTACATTGCCAGAGTGAATTTTCCTTGCAGGAAGTAGCCAGAAGGTTTATTTCGTTTCCAGACTGCTGCTTTGATCTTTCCATTCTGTCACTTCTCAGGTTACATAGCCCTTTTTCACTGCAGTAAATCTGCAACAGTTAATGAGAATAAAATTTCCTCCTTCTCACTGATCACATGCTGTTAAATGCCAAACCACAGCCAGCAGCATATTTGCAGAATTCGGCTGCACTGTACAAAAACAGCACAATCAGTTTAATCTTGTTGGTTTTGTAATTCATTTTATTGAGCTTTCCTTTTTCAAGTGACCTATTTTATCAAGACAAGTGGTTGCAAGGCCAGATCTGGAAGAAAGATTTAAAACTGTAATAAAGTGAGGGGTGTTTTGTGTGCTGGGTTTAAGCATGCTCACAGGATTCAAAATTAAATTTAAAATGAGGAGTTTTAAAAAGGCCCATATATCAGTGGGATATTTATTGTGGTTATTATCTGAACTGAACATGTGCTCCGAGCAAGTTTCTAGCATAAAAATTAATATATCAAATTAATTCCTTTGCCAAATACTTAAAATTGTTTTGATTCTAAAATTTTATTCTGATTCTGTGTTTAACAGCCTCAACCGTCCAACTCCAAAGATTGACCCATTCTTTTCTCCTGGCTTTTTAACTGATATTTTAAAAAAATAAATTGGCTTACAGAGTTTATTTGCGTTTGGGATTTTGAGCTTTTTAAAATTTATTTTTTCCAGTACTTCCTCATCAATCTGGAAACATTTGATTTTTCATTTGAGTTTTTTCTATAATAATGCTATTCCAAGATACAGATCTCCAAGAACACATTCCTTGTCTGTGTTTGTATCTACCTTGTTTCCAGTGTTATTCCTAAGGAAAAAAAAATGGTAAGAGACATTGAGATTTATTTTTTTCTTGATTCTCACTAAAATCATTGCTGATTTGGGATAGATCTTGACAAGATTTCACTAGGGCCCTGTGATGATACATAAAAGTGTTTGAAATCAGGACAATCATCTGTGGTGGTAAAAGAATATTTCAAGTTTCTTCATCAGTAGTAACACTGCAACTGCATTTGCTGTGTGTGCTCGAGTGAGTGCTGCAAATCCCCCAGCAATGTTAACTTTCAGAAAAGGCTTTGAAAGCTTTTATTGGCTGCAGCTGGAAGTCAGAGCAGAACAGATTTTTTGACTCTCCCTCCCTCCTTCCATCCAGCATCTGGATTCTCATCCCCACCGGGCTGCCCTGCAGACAGCACGGTGTCACCAGTGCCCTGTGGCCTTGGCTTCTCCAGGCTTTCATGCACAACAGGGAACTTTTGTCCTCTTTTGTGTTGAAGGACAGAAGTGAGTGCCTGTGCTTGGGCTTGAGGAGTTTGTATAAACATTTAAAGGGAAAATTCTCCACCAAAAAGCTACATTTTTGCTTCAGCCCCTTGTCTCTAAGTACATTTGCAGTGACCTGCTCTAGCACAGGAAGCAAGGAACAGTTCCTGTGTGGAATGGGAAGGCTCATGGAAGCTGGAGCAGATCCTGATCTGGTCAGTGACACCAGTCACTGTGAAACTTCAGCATCTTATTTTGCTTTCTGTACCCAGCCTAACACTGAGCTTGCTGGGGACAATTGAAAGAGGTGTGAAAGCTTCCCAAGCCAGGCCTATCCCTAGTTCAGATTAAGGCAGTGTACCCTTCAGTTTATGGAGTTGACACATACACTTTGGACTGCACAAGCAGAGAGGGGGAGGAAAGGACATCTTGCTTTTTAGTGCCTGTTCCTCAGGGCTTTTTTATTTGTTTTAGTTCTTAATTAATTCTTAAGAAATGGATGTATCTAATCAATGGCTTTGGACAGTTGTTGAGCCAAGAGCACAGGAGATGTTTCTGTCAGGCTTAGAATGGAAAGCCAGAGCTCTTGATTTCCATTCCAGCTCTGTCTGTGCACTTGACCTTCTAAGAAATTCTGTTAAGAATGGCTGATAAACTCCTTGTCTGTGTGGCAGAGCTATGAGCCTGACTGCAGGAATGCTGCAGGAGCACTCCTGATGCCCTTCACAGGAACAACATGGCTGCATGACACAACTGCAGCCTTTGAGCTGCTCTTTTGCCCCCTGGCTCTGTTGGGGATTGGTTGCCTTTGTAGCAGAGCAGAAATAATCTTTTTTTTTTTCCTAAAGGGTTTTACAGAATAAGCAAAAGTCTTTTCTGTCTGTGTCAGTCTAATTTGAGTCTTCTCATTACTGTAGTTTGTCATTTGGCTGTCTTTAATGTCTGGGGTGTTTTCTCTTCCAATACTCCAGTGGGAAACTGAGGTCATGGAGAAAAGGAGCAACTTGTCCAGGATCACACAGCAGGTAACTGACAGAGCAAGAAACTGAGGCCAAATCCCAGGCTGTGTTTGCAGAGCAGGGATGGCAGGAGCTGCAGCTTTCAAGCAAGGCTTATACTGAATTTGGCGAAGCAAGATCATTTGTTTTTGGTTCAGTGCTTTCTTACTATTCAGTTGGGAAATACTTTTTTTAATGATGCCTTCCCCCAGTGAATTTTGGCGTGGTTTATTGCTTGGTGCATAGCTGGAGCCTGACACAGAAGACACAGTGCTCATTTCTCCCCCATTGTCAGCTTTCCATTTGTTTGTAATTAAATGGGAGAAACAGCAGTATTGTGCTGAGATACAACTTGGGCAACAAGTCCAGAAGCAATTGGAAACTTTAAGTCATTAAGTACACTGAAGAAAGCTGGATCACATGGAAGGAGAGACATGATCATATCCATTAAAGCTGTGTTATGGTGCACAAGGGAGCTAAAGTATTATTGCACAGGTTCATTTGGATATTTTCTGTCTTCTGAGCAGGTACAGTATTACTATTTGAGGGGCATTAATGTTTAATGCTAATGTTGTGATGGACTTGGGTGATTGATGCAGTGGGCACAGTCACAGACACTGCCCCAAAACTTCCCTCCAACTTGAACTTGAGGAATAAAAAGCATGAAAAAAGAGATTCACAGATAGGAGAGAAAAACTTGGGGTCATGAGAGGCAGAATTTAGGAGACCTGTGGTTTATAGTTAATGTCATTACCAGTAGTGGGAGAATTTACAGTTACAAGACATTATATAAAGAAACATTGGTTTTTCCTAAGGCTTCTCAGTTGTATGGAGTTTCTCCATACAACTGAGGTAACTGGTTTGTAGGAGGAAATGGGATCATCATCTCAATCCCTGGATTTAAAGCAAGGACAGAAGCAACAGGCCTCTGTCCCTTTGTGATGCCCTTTACCCTGCCCTGGCTGGTGTTGGGAGAATGGGGTCCCATCCAGTACTCAGCTGCCAGGGAATATCAGCAGAAAGGCCACAGAGTCCATGGCTTCAGAGGCTCTGAGTCTTGGTTCATATGTGAAAGTTCCTTGGTACCTGCAAAGGATTAGCTAAATGTCTCATACCTGCAGACAGCTTTAGAAGCTGGAGATCTGTGTGTGTTCTGTGGGATTCAAAACCATTTCCCACCTGCTGTGCCTGGATGCACAGGGTGCCTTAATCCCTGACTGTGCAATGGGTCAGGGCCTGGATGCCCCAGCTCCTTCTACCTTTCCATGCCTGGTTTCTGTGCAGAGGAAACCTCAGGAGAGAGGAAGGGAGAGAGGGAGCTGCAGCATTCACCAGCCAGTCTGCTAATTGGGCTGGCAGGGCTGAGCATCCCCTTTGTGACTATACTGCCCTGCACTGCAGTCCTTGTCTCAGACCAGCTCTCATCAACACTTCAGGAACAAACAAAAACACTGAGATGAGGGAAAAAATATGGCCTTTGCTGCTGGCAAACTTCTGTGTGTCATGTTGGCAAGTGTTGTAATCAGTGAGCTGCATCTCATCTGTACAGGTTATAATGGTGTGCTTGTCTTGAGATCAGAGACTGCTATGCCACTCCCCACTCCTGAGGGGAAAGTACAGCCTTCAGTATTCATCTGAACATGTTTGTTTAGTCTGTTACTTGTAGGAGCTCAGTCCAGCATTGTGGAATACAGGTGTTCATGGCATGAGAATTTATAAGGGAATACAGGATGGGAACTGTACTGTCACATGTGGATTCATGGAACAGAAAATGTAGGACTTCAGTGATGTGCAGCTGCAATTCTGCACACCTGCTTGGGCTGAGGTGGGGATGGCTTGGGAATGAAGACTGATTTTTAGAAACAATAATAGCTGCTGTATAGAGGGAGAAGGTACAGAGGAAACAGTGGGACTGCTTTGAACTGTACTGATACCAGGCTTCTGAAAGATGCTCAGAGTCCCTCTGGTTCCCCTTTCTCTGATCCTCAAGAAGAGTTATGGAAGGCTGCAGGTGTGATCAGAGGTGTCACGTGTGTCAACAGAGACTGCCTGTTTGCACCTGCACATAGACCCTCCTAGCAGCTCAGTGGAGCATGTGAAGAACTTCAGGTGTTAGTCCTTTATTGGGACTTGGTAGGGTTGCTGATGAGTTAGGAGTTGCAAGTAGTGTTTGGCCAGTCTTACTAAGGTCAGAGGATTGATCTACATAATGAAAAATCTATAGATTTTTTTTTTAAAAAGAAAATATATTTTATTTTTAATAAGCTTATGAATCTTGTATCCCCACTGAATAGCTGAGAGCCTCTGAGACGTGAGGGCTTGTTGATGGAGAGTAAGGAGGGAGGATTGACAGGATTTTAGAAAAAGTTTAGAATGAAAAGAATTAGAGATGAAATCTTGGCTCTGGTGGAAGCACTCTTATGTATTTAGCTTGTTCATTTTCAGGGGGCAGTGATTCCAGGGTGTCTTAATTTTGGGCAGAAACAAATGAAATTTTGGCCCTAAAGTGTGAGGTCCTAAACTGGTATTTCACCCTCAAAGGCTTTTCCAGGGCCACTGTCACTTGCACAGGCAGTGACAGTCTGGTACAATGTGTGCTATATTCTTCAGACCTGTTTTCCAGGTAGTGCTTCCCGCTGGGATCACTCTAAGATCTGTGGATCCTACTGGGGGGCTTTCAGTTGGATTTCAAGCATTTACTTTTGACCAGCAATCTCCCCAAGTGATACTGGACTTGCCTTTCTGAGGCCCTGCTTATGCTGGAAGAATTAGTGCCTGGGCATGGCTGTGGTGTGAGAGCCCCTGTCAGCAGCAGCACTGGTCCCAGTGTGAGCACTGGTGTGGACAGGGTGGGCGTGTGCAGTGCCAGGGTCACTCTGCACCCAGGTGTTAATTACCCAGGTGTAAATTACCCAGCCCAGGCTCCCCAGCCTCTCCTGATACCTTGCCCTGGGGAGCAGCACAGACACCTGGAGGGAAACCCCAGCAGAGGGTTCCCCATGGAGTGGTCCCTGTGGGAGCTGCTGAGCTTTCCACATATCCCACAAAGCCTATCTAGTCCAAAGCCTATCTACTTCAGAAGGGTTTTGTGGATGCAGCAGGATGCTGGCTGCCATTTCCTGTTGGGAGACAGGACACTACTGGTCTTTACATCTTGAATTTTGTCAGAGCACCTAAGATCCTACATGGGTACATTAATTTGGATGCTCTGAATCAGAGCAACCATCAATAAGCAGGGCTGTTCAGAAATCTCTCCTCACTCATGCACATCAGGAACACTTTCCTCTTCGGCATGTGTTCCTCAGTTCCTTAGCAGTACAAGCAAATTGGAAAGTTCAGCTGTCATTTGGGGAAGGTCATAGATCACACTAGCAGCCTGAGTAATCCAAGAGGTTTTAAGTATCACAGCATTTAGTTTAAAGTGAAATTTGCTCTGACAGGGGCTGGCAGACCAATAGGAAAAAGAAATATTTGTGCTAGGAGAAGTGCATGTGTAGAGACCTCAAGTATAACTGATGGCTGGAAGTGATTTCAGTCTAAAAAAAACAAATCATTAAGAGAGTGCATAGGGGTAAAATACACAGTTCATATTTTAAAGGGTCTCAAAATGAACCAGCAACTGAGGTTAGCAGTACATAGTAATTAGCTGGGCTGTTCACTGTTTAACTCCATCAGCCCCAGGCGTGGGGCTGGGCTTTGCACAAGAGCACAGTTGTGCTGTGCCAAGCTCTGCGCACGCGTTCTCTGTGAGACAGAGCTGCCTGCAGTGACTTTGCAGCCTGAGCCTTCTGTCTGAGGGTGCTGTGCTGCTCTGTCATCCACAGCCACTGCAGCTGCAGGGGTGCATGCACTTCTGGCTGCCCACATTCACAGCAGTGAGCGCTGGGAGAAAAAATACCAACTCGGGCATGAGTATGGTTGCCCCAGTGGATAATTCTGTGTCCCTAATTTATGGGAAGACAGGATTGGTGCTTGCTCTGCTGAGCACTGGGTTTCCTGGTAGATGCTGTAGAATCAAGCCAACAACACGTTTTTCCTAGGAGCAAGCCTTGAGGTTGATTGCTGGTATAAATCTGAGCACACATGGCACAGATCACAATCTCAGACCAGTCGTTATCCAACAAGTGTTTACAGCCGCAGAACTGCCATCTCTGCTGGCTCTCCCCTTCTGCTGTTCTTGGCAGAAGGGGCAAGGATTCATCAGGAGTTGTTTTTAAATCCATCCTCACCTCGGTGGGTTGTGCCCTCGGCCTGGCAGCCCCGGGAGCGAGCCAGGCTCTGCTCTCCAGGCACGTGTTGGCTCTGTGGTTGTCCCACCCCTCTGTCACCTCCTGGGCTCAGGACCCTTCCCTTCAGCTCCGACAGGCTCCGTGCTGCAGGCTGCCAGTGCAAACAATCCAACAGGCAAAGCTGCTACGCTTCAAGAGCACTAACGTGCAAAAGTGAAGCCAGTTTTTTTCAAGCATGGTCAAGACTTCATTTACTTCAGGGAAATATATGGAAATATTTAGATAGGAGAGAGTAGTGATTTGATCAAGGTGTTTTAATGTGATTTTCTCTGGTTTTTGTTTTTTGGTTTGTTTTTTTTTTTTACTGTCCAAAGCAGTTATCAGCTGATCCATCTCTTCCAGTTTTCTTCAGGACACTAACATATATCTGAACCATTTGGAAATAACTGATACTCCTCAAAGTTTAAACTCTAGAGATCGTTACCTAATTACTTACACATTTATAAAAAAAATATTAAAAAACTGATTTGTTGAGAATGTGATTGAAACCATATTTTCCCTGCTCTTGTTATCAGTTTAAATACATTTAGAAGTTCTTTGAATGAAGATTACCGAGCTGGAAGTGGCTGGAAGAGCTCAGCCTGCAGGGATAGAGGCCCATTGCCACCGCGTGGCTCAGGGCGTTATTACACCTCACCCCAAAAGCCCGTGGTGGTTCAGCTTGGGGTGGACAAAGGAGTTCAGGACAGGCTCCTGCTTTTGTTGTGTCCCTCTTTGCCACAGGAAACCTGAGGGTGGCACTGCTGTGAGCCTGGGCACGGTTGCTGCAAGTTTGACTTGCAGTCAGCAGCCCTGGGCACCCACAGCCTCCTCACTCAGCTGAACATCATTCCAGAATGAACTTTGCAGTGGTTTGCAGAAATGCAAAAAGGCCCTGTTCTACCACACTTGTATAAAAACAACTTATCCACTGCTAACATTGTTAGAGTCACAGAAAGCATCATGGAAAGATAAACCCAGAAAAGCATTTTCTATTAAAATAGCTCTTCGTTATAAATCAGCTGTAGATGTTTTAAGGATCTTTGGAGGAAAGAAATGAAATTCCTGCGTTTAAAGGTAGCCTTAAAGGGTCCTGCTTCTCTGCAGTGTAACATATCTGGTGTCACTGGGAATTTGTAGAAGCACAACAGAACCAGACCCTGCACTCCCAATTCCCACTATGCCTTCTTTTAGTGCATTGTTAACTTGTGGCACTGACAGTGCTGAAAGAAGCCTGAAGGAATTGGCATTGGTTTACAGAAGTTTGTTAAATGGTTTGCTTTCTGAACTGCCAAACAAACTGGCCAGCTTCATGCTTGTGCTTGCTGGCTTGTACACAAGAGCTTTGGGCCTGATATGGGGACACTGCAACCAAGGGCAGCCTGGTGAGGTCTGTCTGTCAGTGCCTTTGCACACTGCAGATCACTGACAGAGGAGAGGCAGGGACTGGCTAAGGTGACTGCTGGGTTTGGGGTTTCTGGAGATGAGAGATAAACACAAACAGGATTTCTCTTAATCCCTTCTTTCAGGAATCTGTCAAAGCTTCAGGCCTGCTAATGAGAAAGCTGTTGTTTGCCAGGTACAAAGGAGGCATCTGGGGAAGGTGCCTCAGAGGTTACCAGCTCATTTCTAATGGGTTAGGAAAAGGCTAAGAGGACTTTGGAGTGGATACAGGAAGGAATGGGTGGCCAGAGGAATACATTCACAGAGCTTTGCACCACTGCAGGATACAGCAGGGCCACTCTGCTGCTCCCTGCTGCACTGAAGGGCTGATCAGCCTGCAGGGTCGGGCTGATGGCTCTGTGCAGGAGTCAGGAGATGGGTGTTGCCAATTCAGAGACACATGGGCAGATGTGGAAATGCAAAGCACTTCCAGCTCACAGCATTTCTCAAGAGTAAAACAGTGATTTTTTTTTTTTTCCTCTACAGCTTGGCTATTGATTGTCTCTTCCATCCCAGAGGACAAATCTCAGCCTCAGACCTTCCACCTTCACCTGACTATCAGGATATCCCATGAGTGAACTTGTTTTCTGAGAAACCAGGCACTAGGGATCCCTTTCTAGGGCCTCACTGAGACACAGTCCAAGGAAAGTGTCTTTGTGAGGACAGAGATGGACGTGGTCCCCCGCCATGCAGCTGAGCCCTTTCAGCCCAACCAATTCAGCAGTGCCAGCTTCTTGCAGAGCCTGGGGCCCACCCATTGTACAAGTTCTGCAGGGGTCGTTCTTTCCCAGCCTTGACTGTTGCATAACCCATGTTCCATATGGATAATTGGCAGTAATGAGGTTCAGCTTTTCCCCACTCCAAAAGCACTTTGGCTCTTTGTGTTTTGACAGTCTTCAGAGGGGAAGTTCGGCTCCTTTCAATGCATCTTTAGTCAGACAATAAATCAGGATCCTTTTCCATTTGTCCCCCTACCAAAGTGGAAGCTAAGAAGTGACATAGCTATGAACAGGCAGTAATCCAGTGTCTTAGGCAATGCTCATTTTTCCTCTACCTCCTACATGAGTTATTGTTGAGCATGAAATATGTGCCACTTTTCCCTATGCAGTTCTTCTCTTTTAGTATCTAAATCATTCTTGTGGGACATTTTAGGTGTAAAAGATGCTGTTTTACATGAAAAAATAATTGTCCTGGCTCATTAATACATAGCTTATCAGTATGTGATTAATTCCTTCTGCCATTTGGCTGCCAGTCTTGTATCCCACCAGAAGCACTATTTTTTACCAGATAATTCTCCCTTTTAGATGGTGTTCTCCATGCACCTCAGAAATGGGCTAAAGGCAGGGAAAGAGACTCTTCAGATGTGCTGTGCAGGGCAGGGTTACAACAGGCTTTGCCAGAGGGACATGATAACTGTAATGTACAGAGGGAGACACTGAGTCATGGAAGTAAAGTGCTTGGCCAGTAAATCTGTGAAAGGAGAGAAAGAAGACTTTAGTCTCTCCTGGGATTCCTCTTGGACCTGAAAGCCTTTCCCTGGTTGGAATTGCACTCGTGTCTTCACAGCATTTCTTTTCCCACCAGGGAAGTGGTGTCCAGAAGGGGAACACAGCTGCCAAAGTTTGCTCACAAAACCAGCTCTGTGGTAGTGATGCCTTAGGATTTTAGGTTGTATATTTTTCATCTGTTTGTAATCCTGCAGTTCTTTAGTGTATAGCTCTAAACTCCATATACAGTGCTAGCTACTGGCTTCCCATTTTGGGCAGACACAACAATTCCTCTCCAGGCCTGGCAATCAAGGACACCTCACTGCCTCAGGCCAGAGAGATGGGAACAAAAGTGACTTGGGAGGAGCAAACTTGGGGTAAAGACTTCATTACCTGAAACTGTAACTGGAAGATTTAGCCCCAGTATGGAAATGGACCGAACTTATAAAAGTGTGAAAACCCTTGAGCCATGGTCCATCTTCGGTGTAGCCCCTGGGTGAGGAGATTTGTCTGCCCTAAATGTACCTGAAGGCCTCTCAATAAATAATAACAGCTTTTTATTCCCTTAATTTAGTCTGCCCTCTGTTTTTAGGTAAGCCCAAAGAGGCATCAGCAGGAGGAGCTGGAGCCACCAGCACTGGTGTTCCTCCCGTGCCATGCAAAGCCCTGCAGTTTCTCTCTCCTTTTGTCTGCAGCATTGGAGTGGATGGCTTCGGCCAGAGCTCGGGCGTTCCCGGGCGCCCGGCGACCGCCTACGGCTACCGGCCGGACGAGCCCTTCTACTACGGCTACGGAGCGCGGTGAGCCCGGCCAGCAGCACCCTGCTGCTCCTGCATGGCTGCAGCACATGGCTGCAGCACTCTGTATCCTTTGGCATGTGTAGCTCACATACATTTAGCCTTTCTGGGTCCGGTGTGTTAGTGACAGTGTTTACTCTTTGGTTGCTCTTTGTTATTATTTTTGTACAGTAACTGTGACTAGAAAGCAAGAATTGGAAACTACTGGACTGGAAAGTGTCACATTATGTATATTAAGCTACTAATTTAATTTCTATTAAATATAAAAACCTGTGTGGTCAGCAGTGGTGAATGTGTTTCTAACCAATGTTTTGTGTTTTACAAGGCACTTAAGAAGAGTGCTCCGTGTTCAGTGTGTTTAATGTGGACTGTTTCCCTCACACTTCAGTCACAGAACACCACTGAGTCCCAGCATCTCCTGGCACTGCCCTGACACATAGTTTGGACCAAAGTCCAGTCCTGGGTCACCACTTTAATAATGGAAAGATGGCACAGATTCAATCTCCTGGACCTTCACACATTTACAGTCCATTTTAAATGCTTGAAAACACTTAAAAATAGAAACTACACAACAGAATACCTTTACCCTAGTGTTTAAACAGAGTTCTGTAGGCTGAGAGGAGACAGCCACATCCATTCTAAGGGCCAGCAAGAGCAAGAAACACTGTTCAGAATCCAGAGGCTTTACCCCAGCTTCCCTATGTGGAAATACAAATCCATCCTGTCCTGCTAGTTTCTGGGGTCTAAGGTGGATCTAAGCAGGGATCAGTGAGCAGCAGAGTCAGGCCAGGACCCCTTCACACTGGACTTGCAGTGTGGTGATTATTTTATGTCATGTTTTGAAACAACCTGCAAACGGAATTCAGGCTAAAGCCGTTCTTCAGCTGGGCATGCCCACTGTAACAGACAGAAGAAAAGGATGATAATGCCCTCTCTGCCACAGCTACCAAGGCAGCAGTTCAAATTTTCACTTTTTAAAAGTAAAGTTACCTCTGCCTCATCCTTTTTCTTTTGTTAATGCCTGTTGATTTGCAGATTTGTTTTTCTTCTTCTTCATCCCTCCTTTATGGCTTAAACAGAAAGCTGACTTGCATCAGGGGCTGTTCCTATAAAACCAGTCACTAGTAATTCCATAAGACTGGGGTCTGTGCTGGGAAGGTGATCTTCAAAGGCATGGGATTGTTTGGGGAATCTGACAAACTCTTAGTCTTATACTTCAAAAATACCTTTGAAATAAAAATTGTTTTGAAACCCTGTGTTATTTTAACAAAGTGTGCAAGTACTTTTATAAGCACCGTTACTCCCTGTGTTCCCAGGTGCATGACTGGAAACAAGTCTAAAATTAGCCATGATATTTCATGCCAGTTTTCAGCCTTCTCTCTGTGCTGGCTGCTTGTTCAGGGCTTCACTCACTGGAGGTAGGTGGAAGAACAACATTGCCAAGATGAAGCAGTATTTTTAAAATTTTTTTCTCTACCATTTTTAATTAATTCTTACGCAGTTTTTTAGAGCAGGTAAGATCTCAGTAAAAAACATGGCAGAAAACTTGAACTACACTAACGGGTTTCCAGTGTTGTACTTTTCTATGTTGTTTCCTTTGTTCTGAGTCCACCCTGGATTTGCCCAGAGATTGTGCTATGTTCAGTCAAAAGCTTTGAGATATTTTTATAGTTGTAGCTATGAGAGAAATCCCCCAAATTGCACACTCAGGCTTCTGAGACTGGCACTTGCTCGTTAGGCTTTTCCAGAAATTAGTGTGAAGTTATTTAAAGCAGTTGCCCTTCTCATGGAATGTCTTTTGGGGGAAAACCAAAATGAAGTTGGTCCTTGGAGTATATCCAAACTATCAATGAAACTGAAGGAGCCTTTAATTGGAAGCTTCAGGTTAACGAGGAGCTGCAGTGTGGGTGTCGAGGAGTGAAGGGTGGGTGTCTGTAATTGTAATACAGTTGTGACCGTGCTGAGAATAAATGGCAGTGGAAAAAATCTCTGGCTGCATTTTTAGTATTCAATGTTAGGAGTTTATGGGAAAAGAATAAAAGATCAAGTATTTGTAGCTTTGCCTGGCAGCAGCTAAGAAAAGAACATCATTTATCTGCAAACAGAGCTTGGTAAAAATTACTCAGCACTTAGTAGCCTGAGGACAGAGCCTGCTCACCAAGATGAAAACCAGCTGTGCCACTGCACTTTCAAGGCAGGGAAAGGCTGATTTTCCCTTTAATTACAGTTCCTGAGCCAGAAAGGGGGAAAAAAGATAGCAGCACATAGACTTTTCACATTTCCTATATCCCTTTTCCTGTGGGTGTCAGAGGAAGAGGAGAGAGTCTGACCTCTTTAATTATCTGTATTTTATGGATTCAGTCCCTGGGTACTGTATGCTGCACAAAACAGGGTGAGGAGGGATCTGCTTTCTTTTAGCAACTTCTGCAACTTTTGTCCTCTTTTTTCCTGGTTTCTCTTCCAGGCTTTGTAGAGTTCCTCTTTTCTTTCCCTACAGCAGCAATCCTGAATCATCTTAGGAATATCCTCTTTCCCAGCCTGCTGCTAATTAATTAATGAGTTTGGTTAGCCAAGTGTTTTAGATATAATGAGGCTGTAAAGTTAATAACACAGTGAAATAAGCAATGGCTGAGAAGCTCCTACGTCTGGTAGCTATTAGAGAGGCTTTGTGCAGATGGACGGGCTCATTTCTAGGAGCAATCTGCTCCACACAGCTGCCTAAGATCTCATGTTAAATTATTATTTGTACTACACCACTTCTTAGGAGCTTTCCAGGGCAACAGGGTGGGGGAAAGCAAAAGAAAAGAACTATTCTCCTCCCTGAGAGCTCATGGAGAACCTGATTCAAGGTCCCCTAATATCCAGGGTGTTGTGGAGCTGTTTGCAGTTCAACATGTGCATTTCATTCTGAAATCGGACTACTCTGATTCTGTTTAATTGTATCCACTCTGGATTAAATGAAACAGGAACAAGATGTATCTTCCTCTGGAATAAGCAGGACAAGCTCTGTTTAGATGCAAGAGATTCTGGGCCCCTCTGGCAGGTTCTTTTATGGAATTCCTGTAGTGCAGCACTGGTAAACTCAGCTGTCCACTCACCATGGCCAGAGGCTGAGAGGGGCGACAGCCTCCATTCCTTCCATGAGCATCCTCAAAGCCCATGACATACACTGAGCTGACTTCCTGGTGCAGTTCATGTCACCCTTGAAGCTCTTGTGATCTGCTCATTTTTTCCTTCAGCTTAAGTTTGTGAGGTTTTCTTCTGAAAGAGTTCTGAGGTGCCAAGAGAAATGTTGGAGCTGCACAGACAGAGGAGGGCTGCAATCCCTGCATGGGTTTAGTAGTCACAGGGTGGTATTTGCAGCCACTTGGTCTGGACATCCACTTGAATAAAAACATGGACTTTTCCAGAGTTGGAAAAAATATGCTGGGGTCCCTGCCCCCTAAAAAAAAGAAACCCACTTCTGTTTATTAAGAAATTGAGAAATATGATTCGAAGCAAAAAGCTGCTGTGCTGTAGTTGTAATTCACGTGGCCATGCAGCAGTGGGACATCCCTGGAGAAGGCATCAGTGGGAGCACCACTGCAGCCTTTGTTCCCTGTGCCTTTCCCAAAGCCCCTGGCCTGGCAGAGGCTGAGCTGGGGAATGTCTGCACTACTGGGAGCAGACTGGAGCTGTGGCTGCCCCATCCCTGGGGTGTTCAAGGCCAGGCTGGATGGGGCTTGGAGCAGCCTGGTCTAGAGGAAGGTGATCCTGCCCAGGGTTGAAATGAGATGAGCTTTAAGGTCCCTTCCAACCTAAACCGTTCTGGGATTCTAAGGCAGTGCTCCTTTAGACTTTACATGCATTGAATCCATGGAAGTGATTTTTGCCCAATCCCCCTCTACAGTCACCAGCTGTCTCTCTCTCCACTATGCCAATCTTTTCTTGCCCAACTGATTTAAAAGAACCAGTTCCAATCCTAATGAGGCATTTGCTAGGAGCTCTGTAATCCTGCTGGTTCCATCTCTTCCCTCTGCCCTTGAGGGGTTCACACCTTCCTAATCCTAATCCCTGGGTCATTCTCTGGAGGAGCCCAGTTGGCTGTGCTTAGGAAAGGCAAAAGGTGAAGTTTTGGGGCAGAAGCCCAGCTGGGGTTTTTGTGCAGCACCTTGACAGGGCCCTGAGCAGGGCACACCCCTCAGTGCCACTTCAGCCTGTGTGGAACAGTGGAATCACTCAGGAAAAGCAGGGAAAGGGAAAGAATGCTGCTCCACAGACAGCCCAGCAAAGGAAGCACCAGAAATTATGAAGAACAGCCAAAGTTTGCTTTTTCTTCCTGACAGCCACATGAATCACACCAGAGCCTGAAGCTGTAGCCGAGGGTGAGTAGGCTGTGAGTAGAAATCAGTTGTTGCTTATGAAGAGTTTTTATCTTTACTTCCAGTTATTTAGGTCTTTTGACCTTCTGCCTTTTCCCTGCCACAAACACACACAGGACATACAAACCCATGCTTGGCCCTTTGGATTAACTGGTGACTAATGTTCACAGTTCCCCTTAGTTTGCACTTCGGGGCCAGGATCTTTTTAGGTATCTGTCCCATTTGGGCCAAAGACTCTGGATCTTTCCTGCCTCTGACAGACAGAGGTGGTGTACTTGAACTTTATTGAGTTTGTGTTCCTGTGTGCATTATATTACCCTGCAATGTGTGACATACATGTCATACTGTGACTCCTTTTACTTTCCTGCACCCTGGTCCTCCCACCATATTACTTATCTTTTTAAAAAAGCCCCAGATCATCCATCCACCAGCACATCCTGCCAGAGGAGCAAGCTCCTCCTAGCACTGTGTCACCATATTATCCCTGACATGTCACCTTACAGCCCTTCCCCTGCACAGTCACAGAGAAATTCTCCCTCCCGGCTCACCTGAACAGTCAGTGAGGCTCAGCTGAGTAGAGCTGGGCTGTGGATCTGAGGGAATCCCTTTTGCTATCCAGGGAGCACAGCTGTAGCTGTGAAGGGATTCTTGCGTGGCTGAGCCACTGTCCAGCAGACCTGTGTGTCTGGGATCATCCGTGCTGTCCATTTCCCTAGAAATGGAGGGAGAAAAGTGTATTGCTAATGAACATCCTCTACACAGTTCGTGCTGGATTTGGCAGCACAAGACTCAGTGCAGGTTAAACTCGTGGAGTTGAGTTCCTACAGAGAGCCAAGGCGCTCGCACAGCTCAGACCACCTGTGTTACACGCTCTGCCCTGGCCATTAAACCGTGTCTAGACGAGGCCACGGGGCTGGGCTGCGCCGCTGTCGGAGCGGCTGAGCAAAGCTGAGCAAACCACATCCTCCGTCCTGGCGCTGCAGGAGCTGGAGGAACAGCGTGCGAACAGCTCGGACCTCCCACCGCTCTGGAGCCGCTCCTTTCAACCTGCGCTCCGCCGGCCAGAACACTCGGGTGAAATCTCTCCCCGGGTCCCCTCGGGCCGCAGCGCGGAGAGCAATTGCCTGTAATGGCATTAAATGGATCCCCGCAGGTGTCAGACCTCCTGCCTCGCCCGACCCGAGCGGGGCACGGGGAGGACAAGGTTTTAAAATTTCCTTTAAGGACACTAAGGGGCAGCAGCGTGTCCAAAGAAGGGCAGCAGGGCTGGCGAAGGAGCTCGGAGATGCTGAGGGGCGGCTGCGGGAGCCGGGCTCGGGAGCTCGGGGGGCTCGTCGCAGCCAGCTTGGGCTCAGCCTCCTCTGCCGGGCCTGCGGGCGAACGGGGACATGGCCCAGCTGAGACAGGGCAGTTCCGATTAGACACGAGGGGAAAAACAAGCGCTGTCAGGGCGCTCAGGCATTGGAACAGGCTGCCCAGGGAGGTGTTGGGGGCACCATCCCCAGGGTGCTTCGGAGGCGTCCGGAGCCGTTGCTGGGTGGTGCGGGCCCAGGGCCGGCCGGGCCGAGCTCACGGCTCCCCCGACCCCAGGGCTCGGGGCGCCGCTCCCGAGGGAGACGCGCCTCACCCGAAATGGCGGCGGGGCCCCGCCGAGGGCGCGCGGCCGCCGGGCGGCAGGGGGCGCGCGAGGCGGGCGGCGCGCCGGGCCGGGCGGAAGGACGGGCGGCGGGGCGGCCGGCGGGGCCAGCGGCGGCGGAGCCCCGGCCCGGCGCGGACAGGTGATCGGGACTGAGCGCCGCCACGGGGTCTGACTGCGGGCCGGGCCCTGCCAGCCCCGCTGGGGCCGGGGCTGCAGCTCCCGGGCGAAGCTCCCGCAGCGGCCGCTGCGCTGTGCCCGCAGCCGGCGGTACCGGCGCTCCCGGGGAGCCGCTGTGCGGAGACCGCGCCCTGCCCGGTGCCCCCGGCCGGACCGGCCTTGGGGGAGCGCGGCTTCTTGCCACGGCGTGCTGGGGTCTGCCTGCGCGGGCATCTGCGCTGCCTCGCTGGGACACCTCTCCCGTGGAGCGGAGCCTCTGGCACCGCTGCGAGCCCTGCCCGGGCTCGGCTGGCGGCGGGCGGGGAGCCGGGAGCAGCCGCTCTGAGCTGCTGTGTGTTTCGGGTGGATTCTCTGTATGCGGCTGTCATTCACTCCGCAAGGACGCCGAATGGAAATTCCACCTCTTTCTGGTAGCAAATCCACATTGCCCTTTGCTGCCGAGCCCCCTGGCTTTCCCTGCCGGGCTCCTCTCTGTCCCAGGGTGTTCTGTGTATTGCGTCTGACGTTCACGTTGGCAATCTGTTGACAGTAAGGTACAAAAGGGTTAATGCTCTGACATAGTTGTGTGAGTAATGGTTTGTTTTGGCTCTGGAGAGCCACACCTGGGAATAGACCTTTGCAGATGCTTTTGCCGGCTGGAGTTTCAGTAGCCATTAAAAAAGCTGCAGAGCTCGGGGTGCCGCAGGCTGCTCCGTGTCTGATGCTGAGAGGAGCCTCCCCGGAGAAGGGCGGTGTGTTTGCAGCTGGCTGTCCTACAGCGGATCTCGGGTGCACCACAGGCGCCAGGGTGACTCTGGTGTTGCAATGTGCAGCATGAGAAGAGCATGGAGCTGTTGGAGCAACTCCAGAGGAGGCCATGAAGTTGATAAGGGGATTGGGGCACCTCCCCTGTGGCTGGTAGAGTCGGGGTTCTGCCTGGAGGAGGTTGCATGGAGACCTCTTAGCAGCCTTCCAGTGTCTGAAGGGTTTACAGGGAAGCTGGAGAGGGATTCTTCGTCAGGAGATGTGACAGGACAAGGTGGGAATGGCTGCAAACGGGGAAAATTAGGTGAGGTGTGTGGAAGGAATTCTTCCTTTGAGGGTGGTGAGGCACTGGCACAGGCTGCCCCATCCCTGGAAGTGCCCAGAGCCAGGGAGGATGGGGCTTGGAGCAGCCTGGGATAGTGGAAGGTGTCCCTGCCCATGGCAGGGGAGTGGAGTGAGTTGAGCTTTTAAAGTCCCTTCCAACCCAGACCATTCTATGATTCTGTTCCTGAACTCTGTGTAGCCAAATATGTCCATGTGTATTTGAAGGAACCTGAGGCATCAGGTCAGCCCAGATACTTTCAGGTGTGCTGAGTGAGGAATCACTGTGGTAGAACAACTAAATGAGGCACAGCTGGGAAGAGCAGAATGCAGAGAAATGCACTGGCTGTGCCCAGGAGCAGCAGCTGGTGCCTTGCACACAGGTGAGGAGGGATAACCTGGGGCAGCCAGGGCAGAGCTCCAAGGTTCTGTCTGGAGAGGAGAACGTTCTGTCTGAGGGCAGCATGAATGCTTTTGTGCCAGGGAGTTCACCAAAAAACATCCAGATTGGAGATGTGTGCTAGTGCTGCATTGTGTTTCCTTTTCACCTGTCAGCCTCTCTCTAGTGCTGGAAAGCTGCAGTTTAGACTTCCAGAACTTCCCTTTATGTCTTAAAAGATCCCATTTAAGGAATCAGTGCTGAAAAGGTGCAGATCCATGCCTGATACCAGCGGGGAGAGAATGAGGAAGCTGCAAGTTCTTTAGTTAATCCAACTCAGATTTTAGGTGGATCAGGACACGGAATTAATTAAAAACCCCTGTTCCCCCCCGTTTCAGGCTGCAGGGGTTGTTGTACCCTCAGGTGGGTTAAAGGAGCCAGGGAGCTGTTTCAGACCAGCTCTCTTTCCAAAGGCCCTGAGCACTTCAGACCTCAGGGCTCGTGGGAGACCTAACTGGAGACACAGGTGAGGGGCCAGAGCAGCAGCTTGGGTGGCACAGCTCTGCTGGGGAGCTGGGAGACTCCTGTGTTTTTTCCTCCCTGAAGCCTCAGGTCATGGCTGGAAACAACTAGAATAAAGCAATTCTCCACTTGCAAAAACAAAAAAAGCTTGGGGGTGGGAGATTTCCCCCCACTTTTCCTGAAAACTGAGGATTTGCTCTGTCCCTCTGATTCCTGAGGAAGGTTTGCTGACTACTGTGTGCAGACAGGTTCAGGTCTCATCCATGGCCTGTGATCACAAGCCTGATGACAGAGCATGTGCTGGATCACTGCTTTCCAAAAAGCCTCTGCAATCAGTATGTTTGTTTTACTGGTTTTGTGTGTGAGGAAACAGCACAGAAATCTGTGTCAGCCTCTTCCTGACAGGCTGTGGGAGGAAGAAAGGGTTGGCAGGCAGAAGGAATATTTGTCACATGGAGAGAAGGTAATCAAGGGGGAAAACATGCTCCTGGAGAAGGGTGCCTGGCTATAGGTAACCTCCTGAAATCCAGATAGTAACTCTTCCTCCTTCACTGAATTCTTCTCTGGCTTGCAGAATTGAAGAACGGTGTTTTTGAGAAGGCCAGAGGCTCCTTGTGGAGTGGCAGTCACACTTCCTAACTGCTGCCTGTGCTTCGTGTCAGTTCAACCCCTGGAGTGGGTGTCTGTGTGTGGCTGGAGGTGTTGGTGGATCCTGCTTTTGCTGGATCTCAGCTTGGCAGCCAGGTCTGACACAGGTGCCAATGATGTCCAAGCACCACCACTGAGAGCTGCTCACGTGTTGATCCAAACCCTTTTGTGGTCACTGGGTTTCCTTTACAAAGAAAACTTTGGGGATTTTATTCTTGTCCTTAAGCTCAAGGGGAGGATACTGGCAGGAGGAGGTTCTTCATGACTGTTCTGTGCTTTGCAGAAAATGCTCTGAACGTGACCTGGACAGCACCCGCTGGAACTAAACCTCCCCAAAGCAAATCCTCCTTCAGCCGGGGCCTGTTGGTGCTGAGCAGGGGAGCTGTGCAAGGCATGGGCTCAGAGAACAGTGCTCTGAAGAGCTACAGCCTGGAGGAGCCGCCCTTCACGCTGCCCACCGGGCACACCATCTACCCGGCCGTGCTCCAGGATGGCAAACGGGCCTCCGTGTTCGTGTACAAGCGGGACAGCGAGGAGAAGGTCAACAAAGCTGCCAAGGTACTGCCCGTGCCTGGGACACGCTGCACAGTGTCCCTCCTTTCACTGGCAGGTGGGAATGAGTTAACGGGGTCAAACCTTGGGAGTGGGGCAGGAGAAAAGTGGAAGCCAGCCTGGCCGTGGGGCAGAAGGGGGTTGGCAGGTGCAGAGTTCAGTGTGTGCTGCATGCTGGGGCAGCAGTGCCTGCCTGCTTTTGCAGGGCTGCCTCCTCCTGCAGATGCAAGTCAGGGTTTTTCGTGGGTGAATCCCACCCAAAATACCATATTTATTATTGAGTAAGACTTTTATTCTGTGTAAGATTTTCTCCATCCGGTGCCAGCAGGGAGCTTACAAGACAGATGGAGAGACAAGAACATGTAGTGATGGGACAAGGAGAAATGGCTTCAAACTGAGAGAGAGTAGGTTTAGATTGGCTGCAGGGGAAGAAATTCTTCTCTGTGGGGGTGGTGAGGCCCTGGCACAGGCTGTCCACAGAGAGGCTGGGGCTGCCCCTGGATCCTTGGAAGTGTCAAGGCCAGGCTGGGCAGGCCTTGGAACAACCTGGGATAGTGGAAGGTGTCCCTGCCTATGGGAAGGGGATGGAACAAGATGGTCTTTAAGATCCTTCCAACCCAGACCATTCTATGATTCTGTTTCAATGTCTTATAAAAGTCCTGCAGTCTGAGTGAGGAAGTTGCCTGGGTGCTTGGTGAGGAGCAGGGATGGTCTGTGTGAATTCCATGAGCTAACGTGGCTAAGGGGGCAGGACTAAGCTCTGCTTCTGGAGGAGCTGGCTCAGAGGAGGGCTAACAGACATCTTTGTTCCTGGAAGCACCTGAAAACCTTGCGCCACCCTTGCCTTCTGCGCTTCCTCTCCTGCACCGTGGAAGCCAACGGGATCCACCTGGTTACGGAGCGGGTGAAGCCCTTGGAGATGGTCCTGGAGACGCTCTCTGCTGCAGAAATCTGTGCAGGCATCTACGATGTGTTGCTGGCACTCATCTTCCTCCATGACAGGGTAGGTACCCCTGGCAGCATCATCAGGTTCTGGTGGGAGATGGAGGAAATGTGACAAGAGAGCGTTGTACCTGGCCTTGTCTGGGTGACTCACTGCTGATTCCTCCCAAAAAAGACAGACATGTGCCCCACGGTTCTTGTAGGCTGGAACTGGTAAACTTGTCTGCTTCGGAGGAGGAAGGGTAATTGAAAATGTTGTGGAAATGAGGGAAGGAGCAGTTCTCAGTTCATGGATCTGCTTGTAGTACTTCTCACTTTAGGGAAATGGGATTTCTTGGTGTTCGTGTACAGCTGTTGCCCCGTGCCAGAGACTGGTGTTACTTCTGCCCTGTCTGACCACTGTGTGTTTGCCCAGGAGTGCAGGTAAATCCCAGCTCAGACTGCAGCTCCGGGCCTTTGTGTTCACAGCTGGAGAACTTCCCTGGATTTACAGTTGCATTGCAGGGGCTGTGACAATTGGGGCTTTGTCTGCTCTAAAACCCTGGCCCTCCTCCCGGCAACCGCCGGGCAACCAAAAAAGCCCAAAAGAAACGGGGGGGTTTTTGGCAACCTTCCCCCAACCCCCTGCAGTACCTAATTAGTGCTGATTAAGATTCTACATCTTCATCTATCCCCCAAGTCAGTTACCCTTTTTTTGGGATTTTATGTTTTAGGGAAACCTAACACATAACAACGTCTGTTTGTCATCCGTGTTTGTGAGTGAGGATGGGCACTGGAAGCTGGGAGGAATGGAAACAGTCTGTAACTTCAGTGAAGCCACCCCAGAGGTAAGAGCCAAGCCAAGTGCACCCTGGATGCCCAGGGGAGGATTCCTGACCTGTGGAATCTGGCCATCTATGGGAGTGAAGGCCCAAGTCCTTCCACTTAGCTGGATTTGCTATTACATTTGTTGGCTCACTTCCAGCTCTGTCCTGAATCTTTGCTCTGAGGGCACCATTACTATAAACTAAAATGTCCACACAAATTAATTCTCCATTAGTCAAAACCCAGCTGCTTTTCTAAGGGACACTGCTGGCTGGAGAGTGCCCTTCTGGACTGATACAAAAATTTTAAAAAAGCAGGAAGACTCAGGTCAAAACGAGTCATTAAGGAAAAACATTTAAATGTCTCCTTAGCTTGTGCTGGTGGCATTTTCACTGCTTGGTAGCAGAAAGAACAATTCCTGGTTTGATTTCTGCTGCCTGCTGTGCAGAGTCATGGAGCAGCAGGCACAGCCTGCCCTGGGTACCAGCAGAAGGGGCAGGGGCACAGCTGCTGCCACCCCCAGCCCTGGCACAGACCGTGGGCACAGCCTGCTCTGCTGCTTGGCACTGGGGGGACACGGAGGCAGCTCATGGCCCCTCTTGTCCTTGCAGTTCCTGTGTCACCTGAGGTCGGTGCGAGACCAGTCGTGCATCCCCTGCGAGGAGAGGGTGAGTGACAGCTGAAGGAGTTCCCACTGCCAGCAAAGAAAAACATGATGGTCAGGGAGTGTTTTTACATTCATGTTGTATTTCCTCATGCCTAAATGGCATGGAAGTGCCCCTTGGATAATGTCTGAGGTTTCCTCTGTTCCTTTTGTCCCTCCTCTGTCCTGTCCCTGCTTTGGGAATGGTGTTGGGCACAGGTAATATTACTTTCCAATTGCTTTGTGTTGCTTCTAAATCACCAAAGTTTTGCAAAACTCAGAGTAGTTGCTGAGATTACCCATATCACTATGGTCCCATGGTTGTGTAACTCCCACCACAGCCTTTTCCCTACCTGTTAAGTCACTTCCTGGCCATTGAGAATCTTTGGAGCTGCTTGTGCTGAAGGAGCACTCTTCTGCTTTCTAATTATTGCCTGTTTCCATAAAAATGCTGAAAGCTGCATTCATCAGGGAGTTGTTTTATCATGATGGAGTTATTCCTTTGGGTCATAAATTCCCCAGTGGAGGTTTTTTTAGCATAGTATTCTACTTGTAGGGTACACAGTGAAGCTTTGGTGCTATAAAAAGAACTAGAGAGTGTATATGGTGGGGGGTGGGAATAAAGACCTATGGAAAATACCACATATTTCATAAGCTTCTGTTTTGCTGGGGTGGTTTTTTTTTGGGGTTTTTTTTTTTGGTATTTTGTTTTATTTTGTTTTGTTTTCAGTCTGCAGACTTCAAAATCCTGCCCAGCAGCTACGGGCATGCGAGGGACGCCTACGCCTTTGGGACAACAGTTGAGAATCTCCTGACAGTCCTCAATGATCAGGGTGAGAATGACACTGATTTATTTTGCTGGAGACAGGCCCTGTGGTTCATTCCTGGTGTGGCTGAACATTCCACCTCACTGTGCAGCTGGCAGGAGTGTTGTGGGCTCATTGGCCAGTGTTGTTCCTTGTTTGCAGACTTTTTTCCTGTGGGGATGTGGTCAGATGTAGCTGGAGGTCACCAGCCCCCGTGACACAAGGACTCCAAACTTGCTTTGGTCCTCCCAGGGATTATGGGTGTGGCAAGTGGGTCTTGAGAGCCACAGCTGAGAAGGGGTTGCCACTTCCAGCAGAGAGGCAGCAGGAACTTTCTTGGGAGAACAGCAGCACTCCTTAGAGGCCCAGTAGCCAGGCAGGTTAGGAAGGGAAATGCTATTTTCCTCTTCCTATTTCACTTTTGCTATCAATTGGAGCTAAAAATAAGTTGGAGGAGTGGGTAGAGGACTCCTGAACATATCTTGTTGAGTGTGGAGAAAGTATCTAACTGCAGGTGCTCTGGATTTCAGTTTCAGCAGATACTCTCTCCAGCTTTCAGCAAACCTTGCACTGTACACTGCTGAACCCAGACCCAAAGTGTCGCCCACCACTGTCCAGCCTGCTGTCCCATGAGTTCTTCAGGTAAGGACAGGAACACCAGGCCTCTCTTGTCTTGATACTGCTCATTCCTGTCTAGCAAAGCATCAGTTTTATGAAGGTGGGATGGGAGTGCAGACTTAATCCCTGCCTCTTGCAGGCTCTTTGACAAAGAGGCTCCTTAAATTAAGAAGGTGTTACCACCCTCCCAAAGAGGTGCTGAGCAGCAGCCTTCAGCTGTCACCTCCTTGCTGGCACTCTTGGTCCCTCAGCATTTGACTTGGGTCCCTCTGTCTCTTCTCTCTGCTAAAGGAGTGGTGGGGAGTTTCTCTTCACAGCGAGTGGTTTAAGCATCAATAAGGATTACACTATCACACTTGACAGCTTTTGGTTTTGTGCTTAGGAATGATTTTCTGGAAGTTGTGAATTTTCTGAAGACCTTAACACTAAAGTCTGAGGAGGAGAAAACAGAATTTTTCAAGTAAGTGAAGGAACTGAATTGTGGAAGCTTCTTACTTCAGAATGATAATGCACACTTCTGCAAATGGATTGTGGGGGACCTGGGAAGGCTCCTGGCCAGAGCCACTTCCTCAGGTGACAGATTTGGTGGCTTTGGCAGAACCTTGTTCACTCTGTAACACTTTGGGTACTCCAGCCAAAGTAAGAGCCCTATCAAAGAGGAAATCTCCACCTCTTGTTTCCCAATTCCTTGTGACTTGGTTTGGTGTTTAGGAGGAGCAGTCCCTGCTGGGCTCTGCATCATCCTGATGCTCCCCAGCCTTCAGAGTGATGCAGCTGCTAATGAGAGTTTGCAAATAGACTTGTTGGGTGAGTTAATCATATGGTGGCAAGAATAAAGCTGCTGCCTTTAATGGATGTCTCAGCTGCAGTAGTGGAACATCTTGTAGTAAATCCCACTCTTGTGGTCCCCAAGAATTTTTCTGTCAGGGAATTTTCTGCATAGTCATGGCATTATCTAGATCTGAAAAGGGGAGAAGCTGATTTTTTCTTTCTTTCTTTATATAAAGAGCCTTGGTGTTCTCACAGCGCTGTTTTCCTACCTATTTTATTTTTAATTAGTTTGAGGCTTAAGTGGAGGAAGAGGAGAATGGGGATCCTTAGTATGAACATTCAGAGTGTTTCTCATTAACTCTGTGTCAGCAGTGTTTACTGAGGAAGGGATGAACAATTTGCTTAAAGATAAGGGAGTTCTGCCCTTCCATCAGGCAGAGGGGCCTTCACAGGTCTCCTGAAAGCATAGAGAGACAGAGTAACTGATAATTAATATTTTTAAAATGAAAATCTGACAGATAGCATTTGCACAAAATTAAACTCTGATAAACCAAATCTGTTGGCCTCATTAGATGGGAAGTGGTTTCAAAATGGGATTCTCTTTGTGCAAAGGAAACTTCCCTTGTGTGGTAGGTAGAAGAGCCTTTTTCCAAAGCAGCAGGAAAACCCTTGTGATGGCCCAGGGTGTGGAGTGAGAGGAGAGCTCTCTGCTGCAGTTTTGACTGCAGCTTTTCACAGGAGATGCCAGGAGATCTGAGGCAGTTTGATGCCCCAGCAGCTTCCTGTGCCAGCTGGATGTGCTTGTGCCAGCCCCTGATCTGGGTGTGGATTTTGCAGGATGTGGTTCTGGCTCCTGGCTCGTGCTAGCTTTGCCTCAGGCAGCAGCAGAGGCTACTCCCTGTAGGTCAGAATGCAGACAGAGGGAGAGGCTGCAGTGGGACACTGACTCTGGACGAGTCAGTCACAAAAAGGGGAAAATGATATTAAGGGAAACAGGCATAAATGCATGGAAGGCTGCCTTGATCCTAATTGCTGTCTCCTGGAATGCAGATTCCTGCTGGACAGGGTGGCTGGCTTGTCAGAGGAGCTGATAGCATCACGGCTGGTGCCTCTCCTACTCAATCAGCTCGTGTTTGCAGAACCTGTAGCTGTCAAGAGTTTTCTTCCTCATCTGCTGGGCCCAAAGAAAGGTGACCTTTAAATACTTCCTCATCACAATTATTCCTGACAAGTTTGGAATGAATTCAGAGCGGTTGCTTCATTGAATCAAGGGAAGAGTGGTGTTTCCCTGAGCAGAACAAATGCTCTGACAGACAGAACTGGAAAGGACAGTTATCTGTGCTTCCTCCTTTGCACTGCTCTGCTGATGCTGGGAGGAGAATTAGCAATGATCCTGGTGTTGCCACTCAGTAGCTTCTGGGTGAACTATCTCTGGTGGGTGAAGCAGCCTTTTCCCATGCTCACCTCTGTTCCCTAGAGCAAAGTGGGGAGAGCCAGACCAGCTGCCTGCTGTCGCCAGCCCTGTTCCAGGCCCACGTGATCCCTGTGCTGCTGAAGCTCTTTGAGGTGCACGAGGAGCACGTGAGGATGGTGCTGCTCTCTCACATCCACGCCTACGCCGAGCTGTTCTCTCGGGAGGAGCTGAAGAACATCATACTGCCACAGGTTAGGGACAGCAGACCCATGGGTGGTGTATCCTGGAGTATGGGATTTCACAGAATCACTGAATGGTTTGGGTTGGAAAGGACTTTAAGGGCCATCTAATCTTGTCTAACCCCCTGCCACAGGCCAGGATACCTTCCACCAGACCAGGTTGCTGAGCCCCATCCACCCACTAGCATCAGCCACGCTACTTAATTGGTAGCACAAACTGTAAGGCTGATTTTATGCTATGAAACAACATCCAGTCTCTACTTGGGAGCTGTAGAGGATTAGAAATGATATGTGCTGCAAAAGTAACACGTGAGGAGGCAAGCAGTGCCAAAGCAGGGTTTTCTGCTGTGCTGACAGCAGTGTGTTGTTGGTGCAGGTGTTGCTGGGCCTGCGGGACACCAGTGACTCCATCGTGGCCATAACCCTGCACAGCCTGGCTGTCCTCGTCTCCCTGCTTGGCCCTGAAGTGGTTGTAGGTGGAGAAAGAACAAAGATCTTCAAAAGCTCTGCACCAAGTTTCATGAAAACTGCTGATCTCTCCCCAGAAGGTAAAAGATACAGTCAGAGTGTTCTTGGGATGCTCGCCTGTTCTGTCCAAGCAGCGTAGGCAGAATTTCTTGGATTATTAATCTGTTCCTGGTGACAAGTTAATTGAAAAAAAGCTGATTTGCAGCCAGACTTGGATTTTAAGTTAGGTGCTATTTGCAGATACAGAATTGATATCAGAAGAGTTATATAAAAGTATTTTAAATACACCAAATATATTGGGAGAAAGTGAAACCTCTTCTTAATTTAAGAATTCCTGTAAGTAAAGGAGATAAGAGTGTGTGTGTCTTTTGTGGAAAAACTGTGTTTCCTTTCTGAAGGACTTATATAGGCAGATATTTAATATTCCCTCTGTCCTTTCTGTTCTTAAAAACAGTAAATCTCATGTTCTTCCCCCAATTTCTATTCATAGATTGGAAAAGGAATACGAACTTCCCTATTTTATCAGCTCTCTGGAGGCTTTTCAGCTAATGCAAATGAAGACAGTAGCCCCTGCACCTGCTAGATAACTTGGAACCAAGTGTGCTAAGGGAAAGCTTCTCTGGAAACTAAGAATGTTTATAACGAGGGAAAAGTCAGCACCTGTGCAACTTTAGACATAGAGATACCAAATGAAATACCTACAGAGATCAGTCTAAGTGCTTGCTTCCTGTCTATGTGTACTGGCAGCTACCACCCTTCATTAAAATCTGTGGATGGCTCACTGCATTACTTTCTTTACATTATTTATTTTAGTAGACTGTAGTAAATAAACCGCTTTGGATCACAGGCTGAAACCAGATTTATTTTTCAGATTATACTTAAAATTAAATCCGATTTAATTATTGATAAACAACAAAATCCCCACCTTTGTCTTTAACAGTGAGTGGTGAACTGCAAAAAGCAACACAAGAGGCTGAGCACATGATGCTTAACAAGCTGTTTGCTCAAGCCCCTCAGAGGATGTGCCCTTAATGAAGGGCACTGGGGAGGGGGTGGGTTCTCTGTGTTCCTTGCAGTCCTTTCCTATGGCCATGTGTGTCTGAAGGCACTGGTGATCCCCAGCCTAGGCAGGCAGAGCTGCTGGGAACACACACCAGCCCTGTGGAAGGACGTGCAGCACTGGCCCAAGCTGCCATTTTGAAGTGGTGGCAGCAGGGTCCCACACAGCTGAGGCTGGTGTTGGCAAGTCACCACCAGTACTGATCATACCCTGCAGCTCCCAAAAATTACCTGCAACCACGTGCTTGCCAAGCTGTCATCACTGAGCCAGGGAAATACACCTGCACCGGGCAGCTCCAAAGCATGGCCTTGGCTGCCACCACCACCTCACCTCAGGCTGGGATATGAGGGCAGCTGGCAGTCAGCCTTCAGAGCAGACTGTCATTCCAGGAAGCTGCTGTGCCCATGCCCAGGCATGGAAAGGGGTCTGTGTAGTGTCATGGGTTTGCTTATGCTTGGAATTGCTGTGAGTGAGTGCAGTGCTTTTGTGCAAAGCAGGTACCAGGGGATTTGTGATGCAGTTGGGATTTTGGATCCAGCCAGGTGGCAAACAGCATTTTTAAAGCATCTGCTCTGATCCTAATCAGTTTATTCATTGTGTGTTTCTTGAAAGAACATCTCACCAAAGCTGACCATGTACAGTTGCCATAACTTTGTACTGACAAGAGCTCCAGGCAGCAGGAACAGAGAAGTGTTGTGTTTTACATGGATCAGGAGCTGCAGCTGTTGGATTGCTGTGCCAGGCCTCAGTGTTGTTCAAAAAGAACATTCTGGTGCTGCAGGCAGTTCAGCACAGACTGACAGCACACCTTGTGGACTTGTGTCCTTTCTTTTTCTTTTTCCTGGCAGGTTCCCCCAGTCATGGAGTGAGCAATCAGAGAAACCAAACCTCTTGGTCCCTGAAGAGCAGTCCCAGCTTGTTCCCCAGCTCTGCAAATGTACCTGGCAAAAAGCTTCTCGTGCGACAGGACAATCCCCTGACTTCAAAGACAGGTAAAACATACCCTAGAGCTTCCTTTCAAAAATCAAGTGTTCACCAAGGAAGTGTTGCTTGAGAGGTGTGCCTTTGCCCCCATGTGCTGATCTGAAAGATTCAGTGAACCACAGAAGGCAACAGTGAAGGAAGGGGAGTGTGATCCTTAACATCCTAGGGAATAGCTATGTGGGAAGCTGACATACACAGACTGGGTGCCTGGACTTGAATTTTTTTTTTCTTATGGCAGATTCTGTGCTGTGCTTTCACCCCTCACAGCTCAGCAGGTACTCTGGATTTACAGGGCAGCTCATCCTGACAGTCAAAGCTGATTCTGTTTCCTTCTATGGCCTTTTCTCAGCCACCCCTTGCTTATCAGCAATCAGCTCGTATTGCTCAGGGCTCTGAGGTGAATTCTCTCCTTTGCAGGCAGGAAGGTGTCCCTGCTTTCTAATCCAAGAGGAGCTTGCTTTCTAATCAATTACTGGCTTGTTCCCATGCCAGGTGGTGCCTGTAATGTCAAGATGTTTTAGACATAACTCCATCTCTGCCTGCACTTGCTCTCTTTAAATGGGTATGTAACACCTTTGTCTTCCTCAGGTGAGCAAGGTACTCAGCCCCCCCTGAATGGAATTCCTGGAAGCATTAATACACTGGGGAACAGCAGCTCTTTGACTACCTCAGAAAAGCCAGCAGAGGAGTGGCCAGACTGGAGTGAGCCAGAGGAGACAGACACTGAGAAAACTGTGAACATTCAAATTCAGCCCCAGGAGCTGCGGGGCAGCACAGGACCTTATTTTCCTGATCATGATATAGATGAGAAGCCTTGGGATGACTTTGAACCTAGGAGCTCCAGTAGTAAATTGTCCTCAGGAAACTGCCCCACTGTGACACAGGCTGATGCAGCTGAAAGGCCTCTGCCAGGAACCCATCAACTGAGCAAAGAATTCAAAAGCCTCAGGCTGAGTCCCCCCACCAAGTCTTGCCATGGGAACAGCTGGAGCAATGACAAGTGGGACCATGAGGAACAACTGGGAGAAACTGTGTTGCCAAAAACCTTTCAGGAAAGGCTGAAGTCTTCATCAGAGTCTGGCCTGGGAGAAGAATTCACGATCAAAGTGAAGAGGAAACCTGTGCAAGACCCAGAGCTGGACTGGTTTGCTGACATGATCCCAGACATTAAACCTTCTTCCGCCCTCTTGATTTTACCTGAGGCAAGGACAGAAGCAGTTGTTCCCACTCACTCAGGTGGGGTGTCCAGCAGAGAAGGTGCCTCCCAGACTCTGCTGTTTTCATCCAAATTTGCAGCAGCTGATGTGATTGAGGTAAGAGGCTCGAGGTTTAGGTGACTGCAGCCCTGAGAGGCTCCTCAGCACACAGCACCTTAGCAGGCACTAGGTACTGCCGTGGGCACTTGATACAGCAGAGAGAGCTCTCTTAGGAAACAGGGAATGGACTCCATTTGTACACTACTACAGATACTAAGGAGTTTTAGCTCCAGCTTTTACTCTGTGCTGCTGTATCCTGGACTTAAGGAGAGTTCTGGTTTGTCGAGACAGGTAAAACAAGGCCAGATCCTGGCTGCTGAACAGACATGGTCCCAGCCACAAACAGAAGGGGCTTTTAGGCACAGAATAGTCAGGACTGAGGTGTTTTTCCTGACTCTTCTAGCAAAATGTAACAGCATTGTAAATGAAACTCCAGGAAACCTGAACCTCTGGATTACAGAGTAAAGATTTTTGGGTGTGTTGTTTTCATGAAAGAATAGCTGAAACGTTTCTCTATTTCAAAGACACAGTGAGGTCACAAAACTGGAGTTTCTTTAAGTAGATAAATCCCTGTAGCCCAATCAGGGAGACTCCAAAGACCATTGCTGTTTCCTAGGAGGGGAGGCAGCATTCCCAATTGACCATGTAACTCCCTTAGGAACAGGTGTTGACTTCAGGTTGTTTTGCTCATTCAGCCTCAAGAGAGCTACCCCAGGAACAGCAGGGAGCATGGGGAGAGGAGCCTGGGCTGTTAACTGAAGTTGTTTACGACATTTCAAAGTGGCACAGTGTCCAGTGACTGTCACCACCCCAACCCCATTTTGTCAGTGGGAAGGGGGGAGCTCAAACTTAGAATATGACAAGAAAATAGCTCTTCCCTGGGGGAAAGAAATAATCTAATGTATGGCATCCTTTTTTTAATGGAAAGTGGGTTTGATACAAACAGTGAAACAAAATAAGACTCCTTGTTAAGTCTGCTTTTGAACTACAAGAGGAATCACCTTAAAGATAAAGTTCTTTAAGATCATAAGCTGCAAATACTGACACTTCATTTTTGGGCTTTTGGCCTTGTTGTATGAATGCTCTGCCATCCCAAGCCACACAGGCACCTGCCCAGCTCCTGGGCCTGTCCTAAGCACACCAATACATTCCCCATACCTTAATCTTGATAATTTTGTGTGATTCTAGGCTGAAGCTACAGGCTGGGGTGAAGAAGAGGAGTTGAACTGGGAAGATGATACAAACTGGTAACAGTTCTGAACGAGACCAAGGTGATTTATGGTGTGTTGGATCCTGTGACAGGAGTTGCTGCTTCCCCAGTACAATGGATAAAGTACCTCAGCGCTGCTTTTGCCACAAGGCAGGCACTTGCTGCACAGCCACAAGATCCTGTGGGGCCTGAGCCCTTGCCAGGGATGCTCCTTCCCACTCTGTGCCAAAAGCTGCAGGGGTGAGCCTGTACTCCAGCAATATGCCCAGCTGTGGTGCTGCCACTGCTCCCGGAGAGAGGACAGTGTGATGGTGGTGATGGTGCTGATGTGCTACTGGAGGCCAAGAGTGGCATAGGAGATTGATCCAGAACTCACCCCTTCCCTGAAAAACTGCTGACAATAAATGAAAGTCACACTGAGTTTCTTGGTTAATGTGCCTTTTTCCTTTGGTTTTCTTGTTTGTTTTTTTTTTCCTTTCCCAGAAAAATAAAGCCCTTAGAAATGGCTCCTTTTAACTTTTCAGCTAAGAGATGATTTTAAGATGAATGTACAGTTTATTCAACTTATTTATTTTTGTTTGTATAGTTCTGTCAATGGATGGCACAAGAGGTGCTAGGAACCATACAGTGAACAACCACAAACTGCTTAAGCATCATGTTCTTTCTGCTCTTAACTGTGACCAATAAAGATTATTTTTAAAGGATCACCGCAGCATGGAGTACCTGCACGTGACAGGAACAAGGTCCCTGCTTACAACAGATGCAAACCTCTCAGTATTCAGAATACAATGTCATGGAATGTTTATCTCCACGCAGTAAAAGAACAAGCAGTGTACAAACCCACAGCTCTGATCTGAGCAGTGTCCACTCAAACCCATCAGGCTGTGCAGGAGAGGCTGGCACTGCACCCCTCAGTCCATCCTGGCACACAACCAAGAGCCAGCAGTACTGCAGAGCACTGCCCATGTCACAGCTCTTTCTTCTGCAGCACTCCTGGCACAAAGGCACCTCTTCCCTCCTGCCAGGGAGCTGAGCTGGGCCATTGTCCCCAAGCCCTGTGGAGCACCTACCACAAGCTGTCCCTGAGGGTGGCTATGGCTGTGTGCAGAGCCTCCAGCTTCACTGCAAGCCAGCCTGGAGGGGAACCTTTCTGGAGCAGCAGCTTCACAGCCTCCACTGCTCCCTCCATCGTGCCCACTGCTGCCTTGTACTGCTCCTCAGAGGGGGGGTGACAGGCTCTTTTGGCCACAGGCTGTAGATTTAAGCAAACATGAAACATCAATTTAATACTGTATTTGAGGGATCAGTCTTCATCCAAATACAAGAAACCCCTTAGGTGGAGAAGAGCTGCAAGAGTCCCTTGTCCTGTGAGGGTTCTTGCTGCCTGGCAGGCACTACAGACCATTAAAATATCATACAAAGGGCCAGGAGTGCATGAGACCTTTCTTCTTAGAACATGGAGGGCAGCAAGACCAGCTCAGCCTTCTCAGAGACTCCCAAAAATTGACAGAAATTAACAGTTTAAAGAAACACACATACCTCTCCTGTTGACTCCAATTCTCCATCCACTTTCAAAACCTGTGCACTCCAGGTAATCCTTTCTTGCTTCAGGCGTTCTGTTCGTGCTTCTCTTGTCTCTTCCACCTGCCTTGTCTAGGGAGAAAGCCCCAGGAGAGGTAACTAAACCCAGGTAGCATTACCAACCTTCATAGGCACAATTCATAGGCCAGAAAAAAAGGAAAGAGGGAGGGATTATTATGTGCAGTTCAAAGAATATTATTTCTCACACACTATTCTGATGAAGGATTGAGGTTATCTACAACTTTGGGTTAGCACCACTAGCAGAGACCAGTTCTTCTGTAAATTATCTACTTGCCAAAAGCTGCTCAACCAGAGAGCCCTGCCTCCTACAGCCACCTGCCCTAAGAAGATTTCTCCTAATATGCAAAAGGCACCAAGATGTTTCATACATGTTTGTTTAGATTTTAGAAACTGATCCAAGAGAAATGGGGAAGGAAATCAAACCAGATTATCAAATCCTGTCTTTTTAATAGGTGACTTCCTTAAAAAACAACAGTGCAATTTAATCTTTTTGGTGAAGGATGATAAATGCTTTGTTTTTAAGTTGACAGTACTTGAGGACCAGTGTGCATAGGAATGGCAGTTGCTAATTCTTAGATTAAAGCAAGTAGAGAAGTTCAACCAGACAGTTTATTTTAAAGTTACTTAATGGTCATGCAGATAATGCAAGTGTAGACACATGCTGTGTATTGCTGATAGCAGATGTACAGCATCAACTAAGACAGTAGTAAAATGGTTAAACAATATACATACCTTAGCCAGAAAATTAACAACTTTGTTCTTAGCTTCTTCAGAATTAAGGCACCAAGGAACAACATCTTCATGTCTTGTTTCCTATCAAAAATGTTATTGGTTGTTCAGTACATTCATGCTAACAAGGGAAGAAAACAGATGTTTCTATTTTCCCTAGGTGTCCCTACCCTCCAGCAACCACACTAAGCAACCAGTGCTCAATCCTTCTTCACTTATGGCTCCAGAAATCTCTTCCAACTGCACCAGCCTTCAGCACTTTCAGTGTGCAACAGCTGTAACTCAGATCCAGATTGTGCAGTGAGGAGCAGCAAACATTTGAGACAGGAGAATTTGTGTATAACAGAAGTTAACAGAACCAAATGCCTGCACCCAGGGTTGTGCTCTGCTTACCTCTGCAAAATGTGTGAATGCTTCCAGTGCGTGCTGGTGAATCAGCCAGGTCTGGTCAGCCAGCAGAGAGGCAAACAGACAGGACAGCTGGGGCACAACCTGCCTCTGCAACAGGAAGAAACAGCCATCAGTTCCTAAGAGTTAGTTGTGCATATCTCACCATCATGATTTATTATTAAAGACTTGCTCTGAGGAACAGGTTTGGGAAATGCAAGAGTGCTACTGCCCTGTCTGGCTAAAGAACCACTGTGAGGGAGGTGACATTCTATTTTCACTTCTTGTTACTTCTCACCAGTGAGAAAGGACTGGCATTTGAACCTCCAAGCATCTTGCATGCCCTCAGCACATCTTGATGGCAAATAAACCTGTTGCAGACCATTAATTAATTATTAACTATCCTGGCATTCCTGTATCTAATTAATGTATATAAGTCTTTTTATCAAAAAACGAGGCAATTTCACTAAGGCCACAATTCCATTTACCTGTGCTTCTTGTGGAATAAACACCTTTCCCATGGAAGACAGAAAATGCACCATTGCTAGGCGGCAGTGATCCGGGGCATGCAGCTGGAGCAGGGCTGACTGCAGTGCAAAGACCTGCAGGAGACAAATCCCAGCAAAGCCCCATCAGACAGACTGCAGGGGAAAACTCTGCAGGCTCATCTTTAAATCCAAACACATGGAGTTTAGACTCCTGAAGGAGGTATGCTGCACCTCCAATAGCCAGGACAAAGCTGCAGGTACATGTTAGAAAGAAATGAGCATGATCTCTATCATACTCCCTTATATCTCAATTATCTTACAGAGGAAAGGGATTCTTCAAAGCAGTGTTAACCAAAATGCCATGTGCTCGATTTAAAGGCCAGGAAAGTAATCAAGAAAAATTATTTCCTTGTTAAGAGCAGGCCGGACAATGAAATAACTCATTTAAGATTTCAACAAATCACAAAGAATTTGATTTTCATGTAGTGAATTATTCATAAGATGGTGTTGGGGGTTTTAGAATTTTTTTTTTTACCTGGGTCATCAGTTGAGCATCTAATGCTTGGATGAAAAATTCCAAAAGGTGAAGCAATAAACACAGTGTCTTCTGGAGACATGGATCATCTGAGACCTTGAAGAGAGGACAAGATATCAGTAATATTCCATTTTTGCTCTTGGAATAACTGCTTAGGAGAGAATGTCAAGTTACAGGAGCATTCCAAAATTGTTAGTCTGATTTCACACATGCAAAACACTGCATTGTAAGCAGCAAAGAAAATATTGAAATAATCATGTCAGTATTTCTAGGTAGCCATATTTTATGAGACCATTTTCTTCGATTTTTTGAAGAACATTTCTTAACCCTCCTCTCCTTCCACCACTTACTAAAATAAGCACCCAAAGGTTATCTGAACTATTTATTTTCATTTCCAGTTGCCAAATGTCTTCACAAAACGGCTACGGTTTGAAAAGACCTCTGAAGTGGTACATTGTTGGCTCTTCACTCCCACCATCAAAAGTTCTTTTTTAATCTGGAGCATGAAAACCCTGACAATCCTTTTTTTCCTTCCTGCAGCCATGAACAGGTACATGATCACAAGGACACTGCCTGACCACCTTGGGAGGAGGGTGACTGGCCCTTTATGTGCTGGGCTGTGCTCTAATCAAATCACCCTGAGTTTTGGTCATATTCTGATGAATATTTAAAATACATCAAATTCGTAACTGGTATGAAGCAAAATCAGGTATTTCAGGCTTCTCCTTGAGCAAGTCTGAATGAGACATTGAGTAACAGATGGAGTAACAAGGAACCATATATGTAACATTCAGGAAATTCAAACTCAAGCTTCCTAGAGCTCATGCCTTGCCTACAGATAAACCAGCTGAGATCAGATGGGCAGCACTGGTACACTGTGCTTTACTTAAACAATCCAGTCCAAATCAAACAAATGAGTAACAACAACCTGAGGAAACAGCAGCAGCCTCTCCAAGACATGCTTCCACTGCTGGAGCAGCAAACTCTCTTACCTGCTTAACCTGGAGAAAAGACCAGAACTGACTGAGCACTTCCAAGATAGATGTCTTAAATTCTGCCTCCAGAGTGGCATCAGCAGAATTGCAGGCAGCCAGCAGGACAGAAAGGGCAGTGTTCTAGGAGGAAATATGTGTAAGACCAACCAAAACACATTACATGTAAACCAACCCAAAACCGCAGGCTGAAAAGAAACATCTAACATGATACAAGGTGGCAAGAAGCCCAATGAGCTGCCTCAGCTGTACAGAACAGTTAAATCCAGCAGGAGACCAGCCAATACAGATTCCAGAGCTGGGAAACCATCTATTACTCCTGTGAGTTTCACACACGCTGCAGGTCATTTGCTGCACTGGCAGGAGAAGTCTGGCAGCAGACACTTCATGTGGAAACCTCTGGTTTCTCATATTCCCTCAAAGAGACCAGTGAGCATCTTTCAGATTTGATGATGCATAAAACTAGCCAGGACTTTAAAACTGAAGGGGAATTGTATGCCAAGGCACAGCATAAATCCTGAAGAAAAATACATCTGCTCAGCCAGAGAGCAAACAACTAGAATCACTAGAGAATAACAGAATCTCCTCTAGGACAGTAGAGGTCCTAAGGTGCTGCATAAAAGAAAACATTAAAATTGAGTTCTTGCTTATGCATATGCCAGCTAGGCATGGAAAAAAGCTGTGCAAC